CACCTGGCTTAATTTGTTGATACTTTTAGAGGACTGGGTTTACCTGACGTTGGGCCAGACTGGTCTCGAAGCTGCCTCATCTCAGGGGTGATCAGCCCACCTTGGGACCTGCGCAAAGTGCAGGATTACAGTCGTGTGCCACTTGTGCCGGGGGCATTCCCATCTCAATTTTAATCTTCCTACCCTTATTTCAAGACTCGTCACAAATGCCATCTCTTTTCCATGAATCCGTTCCTGTCACCATTCATGCTATCGTGGGTTGGGTATTATTGTAGCTATCTCAGGCCCATCTAGAGCCTCTTGTTAAAGATGGTGTGCTTGCTTCAGATGTTTTGAAGTAACCTGCTGTGGTCAAGGCAAGTACTGTTACTAATGAATGCAGAAACGTACTATAGTGATATTAAATCTTGTGTCGCATAAGTATTGCTGGGTGCAGTGGCTCATGCTGTCATCCCATGAACTTTTGGGAGGCTGAGGTGGGTGGATCCTTGAGGCCAGGGCGTTCGAGACCAGCCTGGGCCAACAGTGGTGAAACCGCTGTCCGTGTAAAAGATACAACTTTACCAGGCGTGTGTGGTGGACCTCTAATTCGTAGAGAAAGAAAGAAAGAGAGAGAAAGAAAGAGAAGGAAAGAAAGAGAAAGAGAGAAAGAAATCAAGATGAGAGCACAGATATTTCCGTTTGGTTAAAATACGGGGTTCAGATGGAAAGCAGAAAAAGGCAAAGTTGGAAAAAAATTGAAGCCAGACTGGGAAGGTCTTAAATAGCTGGGAAAAGGATCTGGACTGCTTTTGTAACTAAAGAGGAATGACTGAAAAGTGCTACAAATCCCACTGATATATAAACAGGGGGAGGAAACACCAGAATGATAGACAGATGGGACAGAATTAAAAACTGAAGAATTAAATAGGCCTTTATTTCCAGATTCCTTATCCTTATCCTTATCCTTATCCTTATTCTTATTCCTTATTCTTTTCAATTTTTGTTTTTCAAGTTTTAAGTGGATGACCACATTACCTGAGCAATAACATAAAGAATGGATCCCCACATAAACATACTTTAGTTTGGTAATATGGTTATTAAATTTATAGCAAAATCATTCTGTCGTGTTTCAGGATACAGAGAAACTGTGATTGTGCTATAAATAAATCATAAGGAACAGGAAGCAGGAAACTCCTCTGATACTCCTTTTAAGGTGTTTGCTATCCCACATCTCCGGCCAACATGTTCTAGAATCTTAAATAGTTCCTTCCCCACCTTCTTTTCAAGATTACTCTTTTTCAGCCCCTATCTCTGATAGACCTTCTAGGTCCCTTGCTCTATTAGCTTGCTGTCTGGAACCTTCAGGTTCAATCTATTAATATACTCAAAAAGTAGTCACTCTGATGAGAGGGACCACTGTGAACAATGTCTGCCTGCTTCACTGGAATCCTTGGACACAGCTGCACATGGACACAGCTGTCTTCTCATATGCCTGGGATACCTGAACTATGAAACTCCTCTTACTGGAGAAAGAAAAAAAAATCATAGATCTAGAAGCTCCTCAATATCTCTTCTTGCTCTTGCCAATTTGTCTTCCCATTCTTTGGAACTGAGGAAGTCAATTAATCAGGCCATAAATACAGTTCCTTCTGCAATCTTTCAGGACCAGAACTATGCACAGAACAGTCTGAGTTGAGTCATTTAACAAAAGGTAGTCACTGACCAAAAATATCTCCCTAATACAACCTGAAATCCACAAATTTGGAATTCATTTGAGTTAAAAAAACAAGCATGATCCTGGACAAGATAGGTGAAAGGAGACCTCACTACCAGGTTCTATATTAGAAAAACAATCTGATTAATCTGTTCCAAAGGGAATAGGAGTTTGAGGGGAAACGATGAGAAAGAAAGACAAAGGGTAGAAAATCTGCAAGGTCATTTTGGAACATGGTGTATTTCCAAGAAGAAATCCAGGGAGAGTCAGAAAGAACGAAACAACAGAATGAGGGCACTGGGATCCTGAAAGGTAGAAAATAAAGGCTGGCCAAGCCAAAAGCTGGGAGCAAGGAAGCGCCATGGCTCAAAAAAAGTTTGGTGAATGAGCTCCAAAGTGTGACTTTGCCTTGAGCTACTGCCAAGGTCCTCATTTACTTCCAAAGGTTCAACACAGTTCTTGCTTTTTTTCCCCTCATGGGAGCATGCACAATGAGGTGGAATGTACCAGAACCTAGGTAGGGATGTATGAATAAATGAGGCGGGGGGGTGGCAGATGTGGAGCTAAAACCAAGAAAGAGAAGGTTTCAAAAATAAAGCCAAAAGAGTGGAACCCAAAGTAGGATCCAGTTCATTAAAATTGCAGGTGTTTGGGGACTTTTAAGTTTCCTATCCTAAGTTTTACTCAAACTGTTTATGCTGGAAATTCTGAGTATGCCTGGGTCAAAGAAATGTGTGATTGGTAGTCACCATTAAGAATTCACCAAGCTACAATAAAACTGCTGCACTTGAGCTCAGAAAATGAAAACTGTAATAAGGCAGAATTTGCCAAAACACAAACAGTGAAAGTTAGTTTCCCCATAAACATTTCCAAAACAGATAATTCTACTAATTATTTTCAAAAGTCCTTCAATCCAAGGGTAATACATGTGTCTTGAGTGAAAACACTCAAGAGTAATGGCATTGCCACCACAACACCTCCGTCTGACCCCTACTGCTGCTCACTCCCTGCTCAAGAGACATCCTGTCCAGCTGAAGGCTTGTCCCACAAGGCATGTTATTCTCCTTCCCTACAGAGCCAGTGACATGATTCTTCCAAGGTATATAAACTCTGTGTGCTCATCTCTAGCTTCTTAACCTATATGGACATAACTACCTCAATGTGTACTACTATCCCTCTGCCTTTTTATGTAGAAAAATATATTTCTAATCCTCTCCTATAGCGTGTGACCTTAAACCTTCCTAGCTCACTCCAGATTCTCTCCAACTGACATGCCAGTAGCAGAGGCTCTCTGGAGGTTGAGAATTTGCCTCTCAGATATCTGACCCTACCAAACTGGGTACAGATTTTTTTTTGAGACGGAGTCTTGCTCTGTCGCCCAGGTTGGAGTGCAATGATGCAATCTCGGCTCACTGCAACCTCCGCCTCCCAGGTTCAAGCAATTCTACTGCCTCAGCCTCCCAAGTAGCTGGGATTACAGGCACGTGCCACCACCCTCAGCTATTTTTTTTGTATTTTTAGTAGAGACCGGTTTTCACCGTGTTAGCCAGGATGGTCTCGATCTCCTGACCTCATGATCCGCCCACCTCGGCCTCCCAAAGTGCTGGGATTACAGGCATGAGCCACCGCACCTGGCCGGGTACAGATTTTTTTTGTGTGTGTGGAGAGGGGCTTGTTTCTTCTTTGGGTACAGACTTTCTAAACTCATACCACTCCAAAATTTGGCAACAGCCCCCCAGACTTGAAAATTACAGTCACACTTTTATACTGGCTAAAATCCTTGCCTCTTTTTCCGCATCATTTGCTTACTCTCCAATGAATATTCTCAATATCCCCATTCTTTAGTAGTTCTCTCTTCTGCTTTAAGTGCGGCACTCTCCCCTTTATATGTGGCCAAGTCCCAATATCATTTTTTAGCAAACAGTCGCAAACCCTGTTCAAGATGTCATCATCCTTCTCAACAGATATTGCCATGTAAGTGAGTTCTAATCTTGCTCTACTGAATCCTACGTAGGACTGATAACATTAGCCAGTTAAATTTGTACAAGTATCTGGCCTCTACCAAATGCTTTCATATTCATTTTCCTCTTATCTGAGCCTCTCAACAACCCAGGGAAGAATGATTCTTCTTCCCATTTTCCAGGTGAGGAAACCACAGTTCAGCAAGGATTAGATGATTTATTCAAAGCCAAGCAGATATTTAAACGCAAGAGTCAACACTCAAACTTCTATATTCAATCCAACTATTTCCCCATGCACATTTCTGAAAATAAACCTAGCTGCTAAGTAGGCCCCACACTTCTGGTGCTAGTCATACAGAGGCCGCGGCAAGCCCTCTGGTATATATAGCTCTGGTCTCTTGCACACCCTGGGTCATATTTTTGCTCTATTTGCCACACCTAGCACCAAGCCTTGACACACAAACTCACCTCACCCCACCCCTGCCAACTTCCCAGAGATCCCTACTTCTGTCAAATAAACAAAGTTCTTTTATTCTGCTCTGAACATGATCTTGCCCCTTCTTCACTGATATCTCTTCTGCCAGAGAAAAGACACAATCTTCCTCCCTTATCCAGTGACTTACTCACTCATACTCTGGCTCAGAAGCCACAAACTGTTAACCACAAACTCTGTATTATGGTTTTAGCTCCACGTTATCTGCCCTTCCCCTCTCCTGCTCTGTTGAAACTATCCATTTTAGAATGTAAGCTCCTGACCCAGAAGGCTCTATTTAACTAGCTGTGGGTACCACCCAGCACAATGCCTTGCATTCAGAGGCACACAAACATCAACAATTATGACCTTTGTCAAAAATAAATAACTCCTGTCCTTGATCTGAAATAATGACAGAAACCAGCTGCCAAAACCGCTAAGAGCATTATTTACCTCAATTCAGAATTTCTGAATAGGAATTAGCTTAAAATAGCTGTAAGTGAAAGACAAGGACATATTTGTTTACACACAGTCCCAAAGGTATAAAATGAAATACTGAGTAATTTATTATTAGTTTCCCATCACCAACGAAAGTCCAACTCTACTGCATAGCAAGGCCAAGCTGGGTAAGAGGATCCTAGTTACCAGCATTTCCATTATCAGAAGGAGGAGGTCAGCTATTCCAATCGCTTATGTGCTCTGGAAAAGCAACAGCTGGCCATGTCTTACTTACTGGCTTATCCTTGATGGTGGGGCTTGACACACACAGGTACAGTTTCCCATCTTCTTCCAGGCAGGCATCTATCAAAGCTTGTACTGAGCTTTCCTCCTGGAACAGCAGAAAGGCATAGCCTTGGGGAGAGCAAAAACAAAAGGGAGAATCAGTACATTAAACTCAAAGTACCAATTACAAACTATCTGTTGTTTCATTTTGGCAAATTTTACTAAATCGAAAAAGTTCAAGTGGGACAAAGGGACTTTGTCCAGGAACTAAGTTAGGTGCTCATTGATATTATCTTAATTTTTATAATTACTCACAGGAGCAAGTTTAGAACACATCTACGGAATTTCCACTAAATACATCTGGTTGTCCTTAATGAGGGCATGTGGACTCACCATTAGCCTCAGCCACAACTAACAAGTACCCAGGAAACAAGCACCACCTGCTTTCCAATTTCTACCAAGCTCTAGGCTGGCCACATGCCACAGGGATAAACCTTGAAAATATTATGCTAAGTGAAAGAAGCCAGACAAAATATGTCCAGAACCAGCAAATCTATCAAGACAAAAAATAGGTTAATGGCTGCCTAGGACGGGGAGGCTGGAGGGAATAGGCACTGAGTTTCTTTTTGGGATGATACATTTTCTAAAATTGATGGTGGTGATGATTGCACAACTCTGTAAACATGCTGAAAACCACTGACATGCACATGTCACATTGGTGAGTTGTATGGTATGTGAATGATATTTCAACAAAGCTTTTTTTTAAAAAAAGCTAGAGCTTTTCTACCTAGAGTTTGGTAGAAATTGGAAAGTAGGAGGTGCCTGTTTCCTGGCTACTTGTTAGCTGTGGCTAAGGCCAATGGTGAGTCCACCTGCCCTCATTTTTTTTAAAAAGCTTTGTTACAAACACACACACACAAAAAGCTTCATGAAAAGTTTTTAAAAAGGCCAACAATAAGCTGGTGTGCTTTTGCATGCTATTTCTGATGATGGTGCTCTGCTTCTCTAAGGGATGCCCTCTTGGCAGAGTACAGTAGGTCTAGAAAAATGGATACTAGCTGCAGGATTTCCATAGACACAGCCAGTTTTGTTCAGTTTAATTCCATAAGATTTACCAAGTAACTGATGCAAGTGGGACATATCCATGGTTTATGAGAATACTAAAATGAGCAAGACCAGGTTCCTCTTTTTTTTTTTTTTTTTTTTTGAGATGGAGTCTTGCTCTGTCACTCAATCTCAGTGCAGTGGCGCAATCTCTGTGGTATGATCTTCGCTCACTGCAACTTCTGCCTCCCGGGTTCAAGCGATTCTCAGGTCTCAGCCACCCAAGTAGCTGGGATTACAGGTGCCCGCCACCATATCTGTCTAATTTTTGTATTTTTAGTAGAGACAGGGTTTCACCATGTTGTCCAGGCTGGTCTCACACTCCTGACCTCAAGTGATCCACCCGCCTCGGCCTCCCAAAGTGCTGGGATTACAGGTGTGAGCCACCACGCCTGGCCCCAGGTTCCTCTTGTAAAGAAACTTACGAAGTAGATGAAACATTTAGACAATTAACTACTCACTACAAAGCTGAGGGAGATAAGTGGGGGAAAATGTGTCACTGAAATCCTAAGGAGCAAAGGCCCAACTTGGGAGAATCAGCAAAGACTTTAAAGAGAGCAACAGATATTCAAGGGCCCACCTGTGGCACTCGTGGCCACACTGGCATTCATAAATGACGACTGAGCAAAGGCCCATCATGAACCAGTCTAAGCTTTCAACTTCTCTACAACCCTGCTAGCTTTGCTAAATCTCTCAGCTGTCATTCCTTCTGCTACTAACCTCAAAGGAACCATCATCAATAGTGTTCTCCTCTGGTACACTGCATATCAGAAGAATGTAAATGGCAGAGAAGGATAAGAATCCCCACATACAGAAGATTCTCACACATCAGAGGTGTTTAATTCATAATCAACTGGCTAAGAAGCAAAACTCTCTGGAGTCCTGGGCAACATGTAGTGACAGTGGCAATGGATAACGGCTATTCATTTTTAGCCTTTTCTCCAACTGCCCATCTACTACACAGAGCATCCAAGCAAATACAGCAGAAAAATAGACCAGCCACTCCCCAGCATAGCAGGCAGAAACTAACAAACAGGAGAAGGCACCAAACTGAATGGGCAGCCATGTAGTTGCAAGAGAGAGACTGCCAAGGTTTTAGGACCCAGAGCTGTTTTCTGGGCTTTAGTCTCATGCTGCATAGGTCAGAAGATTCTGTTGGTGGCTAGTCAGGAAAAAAAAAACCTGATTGCAAAACTAGAAAAGATAATAAATACATCATTTCTTCATATCCTCTTTTGCAAACAGTATTGAACTATCATCAGGTGCCAGGGAATCTTAAAAATTCAGTATTTTCACTTAATATGAGAACATTAATTCTACTTGCTAAAGATAATATTAGAAATAAGAGGGTTAAATAGTCCAAATATCACAAAGAGGAGGTCTCAGCAGGTTCTTTAAAACCTCCTGTCTTACCAGGTTAAATACTGGTACAGATATCTACAAAGATTGTAAGCATATTGAATATCCTGCAGTCAGAGTACCCATCTATGTATATACTGTATTATGTACACATCAAAAAGGCCTGGTGATAGGGCATGCCCAGTGAGTTGGGGCTTTCTCTTATTCCTTGCCTCAAGAAGGCCTCCAGGCTGACTCCATCTTTCCTGCACATCACTGCCCACCCTCTGCAATCTTCCACATCAAATCCAGTTTTGCATTGACCTTGGGCATCCAAAGAAAGGGCGGTTGTCTCCCTACAGCAGCAGAGTAGCTCCCACAAAAGCATGCAGATTTTCACTTAGGCCCATCTCACAGCCATAAAATATCTACACTGGCAGTAGATAGAGTGAAAACAACTGGGAGTCACAAGTAAAAGCCTGCTACAAATACTATTATCAAAAGAAATATCTACAAACAATTTTTCCTTTCCCAGGAAATGGTCCATAACAGTTTACCAACTTCTTCAGGATGGCTCTTTTACTATAAATAATACTGTGTCAAAACAATTATCTTTACTCTGAGGTCACCAAGCTGCCATTCTCTGCAACGGCAATATTCTCTCAGCACTGCAGATAAGAGATATGGCTGAACTCCCCCAACCCCCAAAATCTGGGCTGTAGTCCAACAATTTCTTTCAACTCTACTTCCCACTTTAGGCCTTCCAACCAAAACAAAATTCACCAGAAACACCCAAAATCACTCTTGAAAACAACTTTATGATATCTTCACCTGCTAAAACACCTTCTGATACTTCAAGTTCAAGCAAACCCAGATGACAACAGAAATCAGAGGATTTTTAAAAATCAGGAAGAATCTTTCAAACACATTTCCCTTTTGATCTTGAGAAATTTAAAGTCAAAGTAAATGAAGTAGAAAAAGATCCCTTCAAGAATAACAAGATCAATGTGAGGCAGAAATTCATTCAATGATTTACTAAAAGGTAAATTGCAAATGGTACTATGAAAAGCGTTCTGGACTAGGAGACAGAAGGTCTGAATTTGGGTACAAGTCCTAACATTTACTAGCTGTGTGATAATAACAGCTAATAGCTAACATTTGTTGAGATTTACTGTGTACCAGATACTGTTCTAAGTTAACTCATTTCATCTTCACACACAGTAGGCAGTAGGCCCTATTTTGAATTCTGCTTCATATTTAAGGAAATTACACAGAGTGATTAAGGGACTTGTTCAAGATCACCCAGTAAGTGGTAGAACCATGAACTTGAATATTAACATTTCTGAATCTTGGCTCTCTTCTCTGTCAAATGAAGAAACCAAATATTTGTCCCAATTACCGTACAGAGATGTAGGTTGTAAGATAGCGTATACAAACGTATTTCATAAACTAGGGAGTTATGTGAGCATTGATTTTTCTTTTACTGCATTTTCAATTATTTCTGTAATAGATAAAATTAAAGTTTTTGCATATGGTCTCATTATAAACATTAGAATTCAAATTAATAATATGCACTTTCTATTTTGCATTTGCAAGCATTTGGTGAATAAAGAGAAGTAACCTAGATACTGAAGAAAAGCCCTAAAGTTACTTGAATGACAGGCTGAATATTACTGCAAACAAACAGTGGATGACTGAATATCTGCTTTCGTACATGATTAGCCATTTCCCCCACGAGAATGTCAGATGTAGTATTATTTTCTGATTTTAATACATTTTTAAAGTAAAAGCCAATTATGCCTATAAATAGAGCTTCTCTATTAGTTTGAAAGGTATTAAAAAAAAAAAAAACTTGGCCAAAAAATTATCAACTTCCTCTGTTCTCTCTTGCCCTCTGACCCAGTAACAGATAATACGATTATAAAACTCTTCCAGTTTCAGAAATGGTAACCTGAGGAGTATGTGGGGGGCTTCAGTGATGTGGTGAGCTATGAAAGGCCCTCAGCTCCAAGCCAGTCTATGAAGGCAGATGGCTCTGGAGGGAACAGGAGCAGTTCCTAGTCACTGTCACCAACACAACCCTGGGTTACAGGTAGAATGGATGGCCGAAAATTCCTTGCTTTCCCACTGATGCCAGACAGGTTGGGGAAGAAGGGTAGAATACTGAGGGATTTTTTTTCAACAATCCTAAATTGACGAATGCAATTTTCTGGGAGAAAAAGGAATACCAAGGTTTGGGGAGGAACTTAATTAGGATAATTCCATTTCATTGACCAGGTGTGTGAAGTGTAAATTTAATTAAAATGTTTTTTTTCTTTTTGTTTATTTGAGACAGGGTCTCACTCTGTCACCCAGGCTGGAGTGCAGTGGTGCGATCTTGGCTCACTGCAACCTCCGCCTCCCAGGTTCAAGCAATTCTCTGCCTCAGCCTCCCGAGTAGCTGGGATTACAGGTGCCTACCACCATACCTGGCTAATTTTTGTATTTTTAGTAGAGACAGAGTTTCACCATCTTGGCCAGGCTGGTGTGGAACTCCTGACCTCATGATTCACCCGCCTCGGCCTCCCAAAGTGCTGGGATTACAGGCATAAGCCACCACGCCTGGCCGATTTTTTTCTTTTAATACCTGAGAACACATTAAGTATAACAACCTCTAAAACATTCTTGGCTACCTTTCAAAAACAAAG